CTCACTCTCAATCACTCTTACTCTCACTCCTACTCCCAATCACTCTTACTCTCAATCACTCTTACTCTCAATCACTCTTACTCTCAATCACTCTTACTCTCAATCACTCTTACTCTCAATCACTCTTACTCTCATTCTCAATCACTCTTACTCTCATACTCACTCTGTCACTCTTACTCACTCTCAGTCACTCTTACACACTCTCTGGCACTCTCACTCACCTTCAGTCACTCTTACTCTTACTCTCAGTCACTCTTACTCACTCTTACCCACTCTCGCTCACTCTTACTCACTCTTACTCTCACTCATTCTCAGTCACTCTTACTCTACTCTTACTCACTCCCTCTTACTCTCACTCCCTCCTACTCTCACTCACTCTTACTTATTCCTACTCAATCTTACCTGCTCTCAATCACTCTTACTCTCACTCACTCTTACACACTCTGTCACTCTTACTCTCCTTCAGTCACTCTTACTCTCAGTCACTCTTACTCTCACTCACTCTCAATCACTCTTACTCTTACTTGTGATGGACACAGCCTTCACAATTATACTTCAGAGAATGTAAACATCTAAGAGTCATTAGAAATATGTGTAGAATAATAAACCCTACATTGTTTGAGTTAGGGAAAACACCATTTGGCATATAGATACTAGCTGTTCTTAAAGATTCACCCATTTTGCACCAGCAAGATAACATATATGATTTTAAGGGTTGACGAATGTTAATCTTCTTGTTTGATAAACTGTGCACTTAAGACATAGTTAATAAGAACACGCCAATATAAGACAACAAAACGTTTTCAGATTCTTTCACACCACTTTCCAGCAACTTTTATAATTTATATAAATTATCTTAGGGAATAATACATAAATTATATATTTAAACATGATATTAGTGTTTAGTGGAATGCATAAGGAGTCAAATTGTGTTAAAAAGAGCGATTTTTAGAAAATTTGGACAACTACTTTTTTCTGATCATATTATAACTAAATGGATTTTGAACGTTTCACTGAGCCAATAAATATCATTCACAATTTATTAATGAATTTTACAAAAAACACCATAAATTTTATATTTAAACATGTAAAAACTATTTGTAATACATTAGGAACAAAATAGTTGTAGAAAAACAATTTATTATAAAACCTTTGTGTTTGGATCTTTTGATTAAAAGTTTCTCAAAGGCTCTCCTGCACCATTCTCAATGCAAATCATTCCCACACCAATGGGAAGAGATAGACGAACGTTTTCTAGATGATTTGTGTTTGCTGGGAATGGACCCATGCCCATCCCTTGGGCGGTACTGGGCCTTGTAGTCATCCTGTATGCGGCAGTGGAGGCCATACCCATCCTTTGGGAGGTAATGGACCCAATACCCACCCTGAGGGAGATAGTGGACCCCATACGCGTCCTATGAGTTGAAGTTAACCTCATACCCATCCTGTGGGCGGTAGTAGACGATATACTCATCCTGTCGGCGGTAGGTAAGCATATACCCATTCCATGGACGGTACTGGACCCTATTCTCATGCTGTGGGGGGGGGGGCAATGCAGGCCATACCCCATCCTGTAGTAGACACAGTTTTCATCCTGTGGGTGATAGTGGACCCCATACTCATCCTGTAGATGATAGTGGTCCTCAAACCCATCCTGTGGGCAGTAGTGGACCCCATACCCATCCTGCAGGCGGTAGTGGACGCCATACTCATCCTGTGGGTGGTAGAGGACCATATACCCATCTAGTAGGCCGTAGTGGACCCCATACCCATCCTGTGGATGATAGTGGTCCCCATACCTATCCTATGGGTAGTTGTTGGGCCCAGACCCATCCGACAAGTGGTATGGACCCCTTACCCACCTAACAGGTGGTAGTGGGCCCTATACCCATCCTACAGTAGGTAGTAAACACTATACCATCCTGTTTGCAGTAGTTTACCCCATAGACATTCCAACGTAACATCGTTTTCTGTTGACGTTCCTACAATACATTTTTTAAACATTTTTAAAGCACCAACTAGTGTATATAATGTTGATTGTGAAGCACTTTTATTTTATGTAATAAATTATAGTGATTATTATAATTTACTAAGAACAGCTAATATTTCTCAAAACAAAACTACGAGCCTTCATTAAGATGTAGCTGATCTGTAATATTCTAAGAGCATGGATAATAGCAGGTAAATTTCACAACCCATGTGGGACCTGAAATCTACAATTTGCATTATAATTGAATCAATCACGACTATTCTGTTGTCTACGGCGATGGACCGGTACTGTGAGACGTAAATTGGTACTTGAGAAAGAGTTTGGGCCTCGAAAAAAATATAACTGGGAATATACCACATATGTACTAGTTCATAAGCAAAATATTAACTATAAGCAATAAGTCATATATGTGCTTTCTTGTGTGAGAGTGGGTTGCATGTACTACACAAGTCTTAATGCACACTAATGCTGAACAGTACGCCCTTCCTTGACAAAACTGCTGACTTGTGTCCCATGAATTGTAAGTCAATTCAGAATGGCAGTCAAGACTTCCATGACTTGTGTTTCGAATTATAAAATACAAAACGCTACTGATATAGTCTCGAAACAGACCTTCCATTTCCCCCAAAACTCCCTAGTGTTTAAATCAATTCTCCAAACCTTCCAACTGTCACTGATATGTTTTTGATCACACTAACGCCGGTTCTCGGCACCTCACGTCTAAGGTTCTGCCAACTTGGGGATCGACAGCCTTTTGATCAGCTGCAATATATGACACCTCCAAATTTAACAGAAGTGCTGCCTCGCTCGTCAATCCTGCAATGTCCACTTGCCCACACCAGATTAGTGCTCAGACTCTGTCTTCTACAAGATGTATTCCCCACAATTGCCATAGCAATATATCTGCTCTCCTGCACATATGAACTCTTACAGCTAAAAGGTTGAATGCTTCATGATGAGATTTGAATGGAGCACTCATTATCGATCTTCACATCTGTCTATTATCAATAATGCACCTTTTTAGAAACTCACTGTGCCAAACTTGACATCACATCCAACCATCTCAATCCAATAACTCATCTTCTCTCACAGCTTGCCATGTCTTTCCCCATACAACCATCACAAATATAAAATCACTAGAGTCCATGTTACCTCATTGGAAAATACGAAACCTATCTACAGATAACTAAAGCTATAGCAGAGATAAAGTAATGGAGGCGTTGGAGGTTACATGCCAAATTTGGATGAGAAACTTCATGACGACAAGCTAGCCTCTGCAAACACACAATTTAACGACCCCTATTGTTACCTTCTTACAACCTCTTACAATGTTGGTACATCTAGTTATAAAGTTTTTTGACGTTTTAGATAGTTGTTACAACTTGTTAGAATGCTGACAATGTTTTACCTTCGTCGTGTGTTTGGCAGGGTAGGTACCAACAGCTGCACCATCTGCATATACTGTCATTGATAATTAGACTCACCTCTCAGCTTCCAGTGGTGAATCCTGAGGTCATAATATATTGCTCAGCTTTTATAGTCTCCTCTACACCCTCAGATCTTGAGTAAGACTTTGGACACTCGGACTCTTCTCACATATATCTTTCACGAATAGGAAGAGTGATAATTAGTAATAATTAATACTATTATTATAATAACTAGCTGTACCCGGCCACAGCAACCTTCTCTGGTCTCCCAGTTTTCCCATTCCCCATCACCTCATCCTCCCAACCATTCTCCACTCCTCCGTCCCCTCGTCCTTTCCACTATTGCCTCCCCTCCCCCGTCCTTGTGTCCTCCCCAACATCCCACACTTCAGCGTCTGCTAGTCCTCCTAACCATTCCCCACTTCACCATTCCCTCCTCCTTCCCACCATCTCCCACTCCCTTATCCCCTCATTCTCCCTACCATTCAACCCTCTCCCATCCCCTCGTCCTTTCCACCAACCCCCCCTCCTCTGTCCCCTTGTCCTCACCACCATTCTCCATTCCCCTGTCCCTTCGTCCCCAACTCCCCGGTCCTCTCGTCTTCCCCACTATTACCCCCCTCCCCTGTCGCCTCGTTCTCCCCAAAATCCCCCACTCTCGTCCCCTTATCCTCCCCAACATACCCCACTCGTTCGATGCATTCCCAAACGATCTGATGTTCCCATCAGAAAATGGGAACATCAAGTGATCTGATGTTCCCATCACTTAAATATAAGAAAAACAGTTAAAAAACGAAATGAAAAACAATTAAACAATACAGCTCAATTCCAACGCAATGTCACACAAAATAATTAAGTCAAAATGAAAATCAATCTAAATCTATGAAATTTCAATTTGTCAATGCAATCAGAAACATTGAAGTGGAATCGTAACATATTTAGTATAGCGTGTGTTGCTTTTACATGCAACAGATGGTGCTGTTGTTAAAAAAAAACGAATTATTTTACCAGTCACAGATGTGGCATCTATACTTATACTAATGAAATGAACGGTATGGTAAACAACACTGCACAATTCCAATGCAATGTCACACAAAATAATTTAATCAAAACGAAAATAAATCAAAATTTATGAAAATTCAATTTATCAATGCAATCGGAAATTGAAATGGAATCGTAACATATTTAGTATAGCGTGAATTGCTATATGTGCAACAGATGGTGCTGCTTTTCAAAAAAGCATGTATGTACCTGTCACAGGTGTGGCATCTATATAGTCGGTATATAAAAGCACGCACATATTCGGATGTAACGTTGTGTCAAAATTTCAAAGGAATCGGTGAAAAACTTTCGGAGATTACAGAGCTTACGGATTACAGAGATTACGGAGCTCACAGTTCCTGCGACAGTACTGGAACCAATCGTATTGGCGTTGACCGACAGCCAGAGCATAACTCCAAAGTCTCCTGAGGCTGATGGTTGCCTACTAATTGTGATTTATATTATTATTTTGATGTATGTAACAACTGAACCAAAGGAAAATATATTTCGTATTGAGTAATTTCTTATGGAAAACTTCATACTTATTGAACTTGTCCAGGAAGAGAGGATGATGGGTAGTGATCTGGAGACCACGAGCTGCAGTCCACCAGGCAGTCCTCACTATCCTAGCTCCTGAGGCACTGTACGGCTGGTTCACATACACGCTCAAACTAACATCACAATGCCTGATTAAATATGGAAAGAATCGATTTTTGTGATTAAGTTGCTGTGTGTGTGTGGTTCTGTTAACCTAACTGTATAATATATACCCATTCCTCGTGATCACAAAGTGTAAATATCTATGAACATTAAAAATGAGATTATTACAGTTAGGTTTCTGGATATAATTAGAAATTAACGATTGTGTTTAATATAGTTTAATTCTCAATGCTATTGTTTAGAAATAGTCTCTAACAATAAAGATTTTAAATCAGTTATTTAGCACTACTGTTATGAAGCAATACAGTTTGGGAGCAAATGTTAGAAATTGATGTTAAAGAATGACAGGTGCTCTGAGCAAGAGAGAGTTGAGCTTGCTCCTTTAAATTTTTTTTGTTATAATTGGTCCTTTGCAGATAAATATCTTGCAAATCAACAGTCCAAAACCACGAGGTAGAAAAAAAGTATATCACTGAGTTTAAAATATTGACCCACCGGAAGTTGTTTGAAAAAAATTGTAATCTTTCACATATTTTGTGTTAAATGGAATCAATTCTAATGTTATAAAGTTGACTTTCTCTTGCAGGAAGAGAATCAGTATTATTACCTCTGATTATATGTTTTACCTAGGAAACTCTGATGATTCATCCAAGACAAGCACCATTGCATTCATCATGGAGAAGGTCCAGTGAGAGCTCAGAAGGCCCTGCAGGTGGTGGAGGTGGAGGCGGGTGACGACCAGGAGCCTCGTCGACCACACCAGGAGGCGGCCCTTGAGGGACCAGTGGGCGAAGGCGGCCAGGAAGGCGAGGTCGTCGCTCACCACCACCACCGTCACACACCACGACGCTTGTCGCACCTGTTGACGGCAACATGATAGATGTTATGTGTGAGTGACCTGCCCGCCTCACTTGTGATATGAGAGTGACCTGCCCACCTCAGTAATAATGTGTGAGTGACCTACCCACCTCAGTAATGATGTGAGAGTGACCTACCCGCCTCAGTAATAATGTGTGAGTGACCTGCCCGCCTTAGTACTGATGTGAGAGAGACTTACTCGCCTTAGTACTGATGTGAGAGAGACTTACTCGCCTTAGTACTGATGTGAGAGAGACTTACCCGCCTTAGTACTGATGTGAGAGAGACTTACCTGCCTTAGTACTGATGTGAGAGAGACTTACCCGCCTTAGTACTGATGTGAGAGAGACTTACCCGCCTTAGTACTGAAGTGAGAGAGACTTACCTGCCTTAGTACTGATGTGAGAGAGACTTACCCGCCTTAGTACTGATGTGAGAGAGACTTACCCGCCTTAGTACTGATGTGAGAGAGACTTACCCGCCTTAGTACTGATGTGAGAGAGACTTACCCGCCTTAGTACTGATGTGAGAGACTTACCCGCCTTAGTACTGATGTGAGAGACTTACCCGCCTTAGTAGTAATAGGGAAATTGACGACGAAAAGGATCCCCTCCATACACTGAGATGGATAACTGATGGATGCGCGTGATCTATTTGCAGCGTTATCGTGAAGGTGTGCAATGTCACTCTGAACAACTAATCACTCTGACCAACTAAGTCACTCAAAAACTAAGACTCACTGAAAAATAAACTAACTCACACTGAAAAAACTTAACTGATAAACAAGCTACTCTGAAAAACAAACTCCCTCAAAGACAAAAATATCTCACACTGAAAAAAATGTTCCTTGGAAAAACTAAATTACTCTGAAAACTCTGATAAACTTATAAAAAAAACTATCAGACTTAGTCACTCTGAAAACTTACTTATACTGAAAAACTAAGTCACCTTGAAAAACTCACTCAGTTCAATTAAGTCAGTCAGAAAATACTGTCACTTTGAAAACTTAGTCACTCTGAAAAACTACCTCACTTTGAAAAACTACCTCACTCTGAAAAACTACCTCACTCTGAAAAACTACCTCACTCTGAAAAACTACCTCACTCTGAAAAAATAAAAATATCTAAGGCTCTCTGAAAAAGCTAAGTCATTCTGAAAACTAAGACAGACTGAAAAAAAACTAACTCACTCTGGAAAAAGTAAGTCACTCTGAAACCTAATTCAAACTAACACGTAACTCACTTTGATAAACTAATTTATTTTGTTATACTAATTCACTCTGATCAACTAACTCACTTTAAACAACTAACTAACCCTGTACAACTAACTCACTCTGAACAAGTACCTCACTCTGAACAGCTAACTAACCCTGTACAACTAACTCACTTTTAACAAGTACGTCACTCTGAACAGCTAACTCACTCTGTAAACTAAATCACTCTGAACAACTTATTTCGCTCTAAAAACAACAAAGTCGATCTGAAAAACTAAATCCCTCTGAAAACTAACTCACACTGAAAAACTAAGTCACTCTGAAAACTTACTGACTCTGAATAACTATATCACTCTGGAAAAGTACTACGACACACTGAAAACTAAGACAGACTGAAAAACTATGTGACTCTGGGAAGAGTAAGTCTCTCTGAAAACTAATTCACACTAAAGATGTAAGTCACTTTGATAAACTAACTCACTCTGTTATACTAACTCACTGTGATCAACTATCTCACTCTAAACAATTAACTCTGAACAACTAACTCACTCTGAACAACTAATGCACTCGGAAAAACTAATTCACTCTGAAAACTAAGTCTCTCTGTAAACTAACACACTCTCTGGAGAATGTGCACCACATTGGTGCTCTCTGATAGAAGTTAAATAGTCTTTATTCCAAACCTTATTCCACCTGTGTATTATGTTGGACAGATGCTTATATCCTTGTCTCAACTCACTATCACCCACGTATGAAGGATCTCATACATATTCATCTGGTAAGGAAGGTATTGTAGAAAGTGGTCCACCATACATTAAGTAGGCTGGACTTATTGGTACATGCTGAGTAGAGTCATCTGACATGTAATTTAATGTAATTCGATTATTCATTCTCGACTCGATTTCTGTGACAACTGTTTGGAACTCCATGAGAACTTTGTTCAGTGCATTACAGACTACAGGATGTGAACAGATATCCTGTAAACATGCTTCTCCAGCAACCAAGTTAGCTCCCTTATCTGATATCATCAGTTAAGGGCATGATCGCTGTGTGCGCAAATCTATGGAAAGCCTGTATAAATGATTTAGCAGTCATATCAGGTGATACTTCTAAGTGTGAGATTTTTTCTACGCCTACCTCCCTTAGGAGGTGGACTACAAGTTTAAAGGCTGCTCACGGCAGTTAAGCATGAGTCCAATAGAAAAAGGAAAAGCGGGAGCAAACCGCCAGGCCTCCACCACCAGGGGTGAAAACCTGTCCACAATAGGCCGCTGGCTCCTCCTAGTTAAACAGGACGGTAAAACTAATAAAGGGTAACCGACGGGTTCTCACAATCAAATATTTATATTTGATGTGGCGCTATGAATTGGAATTCGAATTCCCAAGAACAGCCGTCATATCAAGATCACATCAACATTTAATCATATAATGCAGAACACGGGTGGAAAAGAATGGTTGAAGGGTTGACATCAAAGACCGTTTTCTATAACATAACAATTTATTAATAACAAGAGACTAACTACTACATTACTGAGTTTACGTTACGTTAATGTCCATCCAGTGGCACGATAACAAACAGCTAAATAGCAACCCTTGCTGTGCGGCTGCATACTGAACTAACCTGAACACAGGTGTGCCCACTGATGACGCAATATTGCAAATCAAAAAAATATCACAGACTAAGTTACACCACAGCGAGTGGTTACGTTATTGTCCATCCAGTGGCAATTGCAACACAGCTATTCAACAGCCCCTCGAAAAATGACAGCAGGCTCCATCCTGCTGACACTTCGGGCTGACAAGTGAACTAACTGAACAATGATGCCCACTGAAGACGCAAGCATGCAATCAATAGTGTCACGGCTTCCCTGACAGCTACTCTAATCACAAGCTTAAGGGTCCTCCTTCCAAACAGGAGTGACCCCCATAACTAGGCGGGTAGTCCAACAGTGACTCCCCCTATCACAACCCAGTGTGAACACTCTTTGCAACTCCCTACAAGAAGCTGCACTGTAAACAGTAAACAGAGTCAGGCAAGGTGGGATTCTAAGACACAGCTCCAGTAATCCCTAAGTTACTCTATTCTCGTCACCCGACGATAAACAAAAGAAATTACCTTAATCAATTACCACTGATTATGTGATTAATTACGTTAATTGACTGATCGCAGCAGTCAGCAACAAAGTACTACGGTGATCACAAACACTTGTCTCTCATAGACAACAACATGATGGTACTCTACGTTAATCATTAACACTTGGCTCTCTTAACACATGTCATCTTGTTAACAATAACTCAACACTCTCTTATATTACATCACACTTGACTCCTTGCAAGTATTCAGTGAGTAATTCTTAATTAAGGTCAAACGGACCACTAATTACATCCCCATTGAGTGACGTTAACTAAGCCTACCCTAACTTGGTAGCTTCTCAACAGTCTGTGTCAAAAAATTACTATAATGAGTGTTAATTACCCTAATTAACTCCGAGCAATTAATTAACTGTCACCAGGACCGATAATTAATCATACATAAATACGTCTCACTCCGCACTGCCTAAGCAGGTCTCATCAAACACTGTGAATTCACGGGAAAGGAGTTAATTACCCTAATTAACATGAGTGCAATTAATCTACTGTCCACAGACAGGATATGATTAATATAACGAGTTATGCTAGCTACATGACCTCGCTTTACCAAGTCATCTGAGTTCTCAAGACCCCAGACGTTAATTACTCCACTAATTATCATGAGCCACTAATTGCTATACCCCCGAAAGGTAATTAGTCCCGAGCAAATTCCGTTAACACAAATACTGACAGACTCTGACAGATCCTCTCCCACTACGTGAATTCATGATGAGAAGGTTAATTACATAATTAGCTAGAGTGGTCAATTAGTTGTCACATGGACAATTAATTGCTCCCGAGACGTATCTCACTCAAGCTCAACACTGTTCTCCCATAACAGCTCTCACTCACTCAACAATAAGTGTGCACCCCTTATCCAGTTAATTACCCCTTTCTAATTAACTCACTGAAGCCTTAAGTCCTCAACACAACTTAAAGAAACAAAGTAACCCCAGTGTTACATAGGTCACACTACAATGGCATGCATAACAACACAAATGCACTGCCCACATACGGTTGCGGCTACTGCAACTCGTTAATTACTGTGCCCACACAGTAATGACACACGGTTTGGCAACACACAAGAGTATGCCAATATTACTGCCCCCCTTATCTTGCAACCGTTGCAAAGGACTACTGTGAGCACACACTTACCTCAGCAAGGCAATTAACAAATCAATTGCCTGCTCTCATTAAGTACTGTGAATTCCCCTGAATAATCATAGAGGTCCCTTAAACCCTCAACACAGCTCCTAAGGCAGCAACATCGTATATCTGATAACAACACTGCACAAACCTGCAACATAATGATGCCGTCAGCATACCCCACATGCTAATGACATCATTAGGCAATCAGTCAGCAATCACATCTACTGACTCACCTCACAACACAGTACACAAAACATGCAAATGAACACAGAAATGGCATTCACATAATCAATGAAAATTATATCACCAGATAAATGTACCTCTAACTACAGAGACCTCAGGGTATCCACTGACATCTCTGCAACCTGGCCTGCCTACCTCAAATGATTATAATTTTACATGCTGGTACTTCCATAGCACTAATCCTGTCTGACCGATTATATAGAATCGACAACTGGATCATTTATATGGTAAATCTCTACACTGACCGGTTACATACCCGAGTCAGTCTACACACTTATATAAACTTTATATAACTACAGTGTGGTTCTGTGTACAACATCCATCTCCAGGTACCGCCCTACCAGTCACCTGGACGTGCCACTGACAGCTGTCACTCAGCTGCTTCCCTAGCCTGGCGGGGCTATGGGACAACATAGCTCTTATTGGGATTTCCACCGGTCCTCAACACGCTGTTACACAATGATAATTGTACTCACGTTCTTCACATCCTCATCAATCCTTTCCCTGGTCAATACCTCTTTGGCTGTAAACATTTAGCTCGCTCCTCGTGTGAGGTGTAGCCCTAGAATGTCCAGGGAAGTTGGCCAAAACATGGGGCCACCTCGTGGCCCTAGGGGTGGTCATGGGTAGCGCATGACGTTATAGCACCCCACCCGGCTGAGCTGGGGCGCGGGGTGGGGTGGGGTGGGGTTTGGCCGCGCGTGTGGCCCCCCCCCCCGGGCGGCGCGGCCCTGGGGTGGGCGGCGCCCACATGAGATGGATGCCTCAGCCCAGCTGGCTGGCTGGCGCTTACAGGCATACACACGTGGATGGGAGATCACTTTACACCCCATCATCAGCATGCTTGCTCGTACACTCGGGTGACAATGGCCGGTGGCGTCGCCGCCGGCCATTGTCGGCCACCACTTGGACGCCGCATGGCGGAATTCAAAGTCCAACAGGGGCCTGTAATATCACCACAATTTCACTAGGAGGCCCTGCCCATATTCCACCATTTGTCCATCAACACTAGACAGGTAAGGGGTCTCGTAGCCTGGTGGATAGCGCGCAGGACTCGTAATTCTGTGGCGCGGGTTCGATTCCCGCACAAGGCAGAAACAAATGGGCAAAGTTTCTTTCACCCTGAATGCCCCTGTTACCTAGCAGTAAATAGGTACCTGGGTGTTAGTCAGCTGTCACAGGCTGCTTCCTGGGGGTGGAGGCCTGGTCGAGGACCGGGCCGCGGGGACACTAAAGCCCCGAAATCATCTCAAGATAAGAAGGTTATTCGAACCACCTGTTACACCATGAGGCTCTGCCAGCTGCCTCATGGGTGCCCACTGTCTCTGAGGCTTTTTTACTGGTCCTTCCGTACCTCATCGGCCCCAATTCCACGCAAATTGTGCCATAACACAACCCAGGATGGTAGGAGTGCCATCCACGCTGTGTAACAAGGGAATGACAGCAATTAACGGGGTTGGAGGTGGCAGGCTACCACCTCCACCCAGCTACGTCCTCCTCCACTTGCTGTCCAGCTCAAACTAACGATTTTGCGGGCTAGGGGAACTCAAAATGCCCATATCTCCCCCCCCCTCCCTACTTTGTCTTGACCAATCAGCAGGAAGCCGGCACACCACCATGGTGCCGCTTCCAATAACAGCTGTTCGCGCCAAAACTCAGCTAGGAGCAGAGATGCCTAAACCAATCACAGGCTTCACCCACCCTCAGGCGTCTCGTGACGTCACAAGGAGGGGGAGGCCTAAAGACAGTGGCGCAATGTCTCAGATGGAGGGGGGGAACGTTCACCCCTCTGTCCTCCCCCCCTCTAAAACCGTTGGAAGTCAAGTACCTACCAACACCACTTCACTCTCAACTCCCATCCTATTTTCACAGAAACAGGAAAAGTCCTGTAATTCTCTCTACAGAGCAATCACAGACTTCTGACTAGTCACAAATGATAGTCCATAGCAAGAGCTTTCATCTTTCATCCAACACCCAACAAGTGTATGTTAGTTTGAAAACTTCTTGACTAGAGTCCCTGGAGCGACTAGCCTAATCTAGAAAACTAGGATAACTAGCTGAGGGAATCTACATTCCCTCACACTAAGCAAATCTATGAAAAGCCTGTATAAATGATTTAGCAGTCATATCAGGTGATACTTCTAAATGTATTGCCCTAGTAGTTGCACAACAGGTAAAAAAAGATATACGGGTTTGTGGGTCGTCCATCTTGTGAACCTGTACAAGTGATCGCCGCTGTGCAATTGACTCAACTCATTTCGAAAGGTCGTAAATGTATCTCTTTAATGTATGTACATTTAATGTAAATGTTAATGCATCTGTAAACTCTCTCTTTAGGGAGTGGAGGAGGACTTGGGTACGGTCAAACTCTTGTGTCGTCTCTTCAGCATATCACACATTCTTTTAAAATCCTTTTAACAGACTGTCGTCTTTGGGGGATCCAATATCGTTGTCTGATTGAGGCGCGAGTATCAAGGATTCCAGCATGATGTGTATGAAGCACAATCAACCTTGTGATCCAATGTTTTTTTTGGTAAAAGCCATGGATGGACTGTTTTTAAATATATCTGTGTGCTGCTTCAGCCTACCTCCACAACGTAGAATGTTATGAATTTGGTCAATCCAGTCCCAGGTTTTGAACCAATTTGTTAGGGACATTTTCTAATTCTTCCCCATAGGTGTTTCTTTGGGCTTGTAATTCCCAAAAATTAATTACTCCTGGAAAGGTATATTTTATTATCTTCAAGAGAAAAAGAAACACCAACTGTGTGTCTTTATCAGCTTTCTCAGTGAAGAGAAAGTCTATGATCTTTCTTAAAATTTTTATTATATTAAGTAATTTACTTAATAAAGTAATTAATTAACTTTAAGGATCATAGTCTATGATCCTGGCCACTGGTTCTTAAATTGCAGTCATGGTTTGTGTCATTATGACCTGTGACTTTTGTTCTGGCCAACTAGCCTTAACTAACCATGAGGCCCATGTTGCCAAATATCAGCCTTTAAAAAAGCTTCATCTTCATTCCTATTGACAAAAAATCAACTGGATTGTTCTTTGTTGGGACATGTAAAAATCTAAAGCCCGCAGAAAGATCTCTAATTTCTGCAACTCGATCGCTTACATAAAGCATAGGATTGTTGTTATTCCTCACCCATTGTAAGACTGCTTCATTATCACACCACATCTGTGATATTTATGGTAGGCAAGGTTTGTTTAATATGCATTGCTAAACGTGTACCGGTAAGCAGTGCTGTTAGCTCCAGTGTGGTAAAGTTGTTTTCTTTAATGGAGCTACTCTTGCTTTTCCTGTTATTAAATGGGATTTATTGAGTAACAAAGTAAGCACAAGTCCCATAGGTTCTAACTGAAGCATCTGTAAAGACATGCAATGTCACTGCAACACCTTCGTCGATTACTTGTCTCAGAAAGGTTATCTGCTCGAATAAGGCTTGTTCAGCAGCTACCTCTTTCCACGCTGTTTGTATCTCACGAGGGGGCCTGAGTATTCTGTTTGTTAGTATCCTGGCCTGGGAGGATTTGCTGGGCGCAAATCCTTATCTGCAGCCTCTGTTTAAATCAACAATAAAATTGGTAATAGGGTGTAAAAACGATTCTTCGCGGGGGTCGTATTCCAGGGAACATAGGATTAAGGACTTGCCCAAAAACGCTATGTGTACTAGTGGCTGTATACGAATGTAAGATCTCTTGTATATATCTATCTATATAAATAAAAATGGAAATGTTCAAATCCACAAGGATTGTGACGAGGATTCGAACCTGCGTCTGAGAGCATCCCAGACACTGCCTTAATCGACTGCTTAATAGGGATGCTCTCGGACGCAGGTTCGAATCGTCGTCACGGCCCTTGTGGATTTGTTCATTTGATGCATCACGCAATTGTGATTTCTGTGTGTAATGGAAATGTTCGTTTGTTCAAAATCGCTAATCTCTGACAGTTCTTCACCGATTGCTTTGAAATTTTCATGCAATGTTCTATTCGTATCCGAGCAATTTTTTTTTATATACATACTATATTGATGTGACATTTTTGACGGAAAAAACATGCATTTTTGAAAAACTGTGTTTTTCATGTGAGGGGAAATCTTCGAAACCTCTTTACCGAATGCTTTGTAATTTTGACACGACGTTGCATTCGAATAGGCCCGTGTTTTTATATATCTACTATATACATGCCTTATCTGTGACAGGAAAAAACTTGCTGTTTTTGAAAAGCACCGCTATCTGTTGAACGTAAGAGCAACACACGCTGTAATCTCACAAAGTTCTTCACCGATTGCTTTAAAATTTTGACACAACGTTCCATTCGCATATGCGCGTGTTTTTATATACCTACTATATAGATGCCACACTTGTGACAGATAAAATTTTTTTTTTCAAAACCAGCGCCATCTGTTGCACGTAATAGCAACAAACACGCAATACTAGATATGTTATGAATACCATTTCAATGTTTCCGATTGCATTGATAAATTTAATTTTCATAGATTTCGATTTATTGAAATATTTTGTGTGACATTGTGTTGGAATTGAGCTGTGTTGTTCACCATACCGTTCATTTCATATGTATAAATGCCACACTTGTGACAGGTAATTGTTTTTTTTTTCAGAAATAGCGCAATCTGTTGCACGTAAGAGCCACACAAGCTATACTAAATATGTTACGATTCCAATTCAATGTCTTCGATTGCATTGACAAATTAAATCCTTCTACAATTCGATTTATTTTCATTTTGATTTAATTATTTTGTGTGACATTGCAGTGGAACTGAGATATGTTGTTTACCATACCGTTCATTTCGTGAGTATAAGTATCGATGCCACACCTGTGATAAGTAAAAACATGATTTAAAAAAAAAAACAGCGCCATCTGTTGCACATAAGAGCAACTCACGCTATTCTAAATATGTTTTGATTCCATTTCAATGTTTTTGATTTCATTGATAAATTGAATTTTCATAGATTTCGAATTATTTTCATTATTATTTAATTATTTTGTGAGACATTGCATTGGAATTGAGCTTTGGTGTTTACCATACTGTTCATTTCGTGTGTATAGTATATATTTTATTTCATTTCGTTTTTAATTGGTTCCTTATATTTCAGTGATGGGAACATCAGATCATTTGGGAATGCTTCAGATGAGGGAGTGGGGAATGGTGGGGAGGACGAGGGGATGGAAGTGGGGATGGTGGGAAGGACGAGGGGAAAGAGGAGGGGGTAATGGTGGGGAGGTCGTGAGAACGGGGTAGTTTGGGGAAGAGGGGACAGGGGGAATGAAGATTGGTGGGGGAGGACAAGGGGACAGGGAAGTGGGGGATGGTGGGGAGGACGAGGGGATTGGGAAGGGGGGGGGATGGTAGGGAGGACGAGGAGAAGGAGGAGTGGGAGATGGAGTAGAGGACGAAGGGACAGTGGAGTGGGGAATGGTTAGAAGAACGAGGGGATGGTGGAGTGGTGGATGGTGGGGGAAGACTTAGGGATGTGGGAGGGAGGAAAGGATGGGGAGGACTTATGGATGAGGGAGGGAGGAAATGATGGGGTGGACGAGGGGACGGGGGAGTGGGGAATGGTTGGGAGGACGAGGGGACAGGGGGAGTGAGGAATGGTTGGGAGGACTGAGAGACAGGGGGACGGTTGCTGTTGCTGAGCCACAGCAACATGTGGGCAGGTACAGCTAGTAAATAAATAAAATAAATAAATAAATAAAGGTAACGGACTATCCCATCTTACCTTAGTCTTCCAGGCTTCTTGCACCAGTAGACGTCCTTTGATAGTCATTGGACTTAACAGTCCTAAGGGGCCAAAAACTTTGCTAATTTGTGACAATAAGTCCCTCTTGGTGACTGCAGGAGCTCACTGGTATTAACCTGTCATAATATCAGAGGCGATAACCCATCCAACACCCAATACCTTTAGCTTCTGAGGTACGAGATATTCTGGGTAATCTCTCTGAATTTGTTTGTTTAATTCTTCATTGTTGGAGGCCAATGACTGCAATGGCATATTAGCTCTTTAAATTTCATGATTAGCCTCTCTGTAAATTTCTGATAGTTTGGTTTTACTGTTAGCTGTTGCTTGGAAATTATAAACATATAGATTTTGGTTGATTTCAACCTTGTAAGGACTATCTGAGTTCTTTAAATGTGTGTCCAATGTTGCTTGTAACAAAAATGGATTTGATGTTTCTCCGAAGAATACACTTGAAAAATGATGTCGCTATACGACTTTCAATGTCTTCTGGATTTTCAACCCACAAAAATTTGGTGAAGTTACGATATTCTTCCAGTAATCCTAATGTTAAGAAGACTTTACTGATGTCTGATGTATAGGCAAATTTATTGACCCTAAACATCAGCAGTAAGTCATGCAATTTCTCTGTTAATCTTGGAACTGTTTGCAGACAATCATTAAGACTTGCTGTCTGTGAGTATTGTTTGGCACTACAGTTAAAAACAATCCATAAAGGAGTAATTAATGATTGTTTGGCAACAGAATGGTGAGGTAGATAATGACCTACTTTTAAGTTGTCATTAGGTGCTACGTCTATGAAATTATTAGCTAGTTGCTGGATAATAATCTTATGGTAAAGCTTTAAATATTTTGGATTTTTGCTAAGTTTGGTAACTTGTGACTTAAACTGGTTTAAAGCCATATTGTAATTTATTGGTAAGATTTTGTGATTAATTGTCCATGGTAATCTGACCCAGTACTGTCCACCATGGTATTGTACAGTTTCCAAGTACTGTTTGTATGCCCAAGTATCATCTGGGCTTGGCGGCTCAGGAATAATTTCGATAGTATCTAGGTCCCACAGTTTATGGGCTGACTCCAGTCTGTCATCAATCATGTGACTGATTTCTAGGTGTGATTGTTCTTGGCCTAGTCATGCTACTATGACAGTTTCTTAATGATTCTGTTCCACAGGAATTTTTGTCTCAAAGTACTGGCCCAGACAATAACTTTCCTCCTGCAGATTCTAACAAGTACATTCCTAACATTTTTATGTTTCCCCAAGAGAAATTTGTGGTAGTTATCATCACCCAAAAGAATGTCGATATCTGTTATGTAGTCAGAGTTTTTCTCGGGATCTGCTAAAATAATCCCTATTTGTTTAAGCAATCATGCTGTGGTACTGAGATCAGTAATTTGTAGGTATGTCGGCATTTATTTTACAACACTAGCCTTATATATTTTCCTAGAAGAACTAAGAGTTTTACCACTCTGTATTCTTGGTCAGCTGTGCTGGTAAAAAATTCGGAAATGTTTAGAGTGACTGTACAGTCACAAGTTGTAGATTATCTACAAGTTTCTTTGTGATAAAAACTTCTCTGGGAACCCTGATCAAACAATCCTTGAGTATGGATCTGGGTTCCTTTATTATGTTATTATTTTCGGGGTATGTAAATCAGCTGCTGCAGCAAATTTTGTTATCAATGTGTTTACATCATTTAGTACCCTACAGAATTGTACTGTTGCTGAGGCTGTTTTCTCCGGTTTGGGTTTTGTGGATTGATTAGCATTGCTACTAGATTCACCACAAAGAACCATAAAGTGCCGATCCTTCCCAGAACTTTTACAGATTCTTGGCTCAGTTGCACAATGTTGTAGGATTATGCTTTCTCAAGCAATGTGTACATCAATTCGATTGTTTCAACTGATTAATTTTGCTGGGATAGTCAGTATTTTTAGGACACTGATACGTCAAATTAATTTTTTCACAGGATAAGCATTTTGTCCAGTTTGTTGCATAGAAGCATAAATACCTATGCTACTTTGCTTTTATTTTATTGTTGCATTTTGTTGTTGCTTTGGCTTTGTGCCATTATTTGGCTATTTTTTGTTTTGTCCGAGGAGACTTGTGTGATCTTTTAATAAACTTTAAATGTGTTATGTGTCCTCAGATGGGTGACAACTGTCTTTAAGCCATCAAATATATCTCGAAGAGATAATATATCTGTAATA